GGCTGACAGCTTGGCAGTGGAACTCTTTTTGGATGATACAGTCTTTTCCGTATTTTTAAGAGCTTGAATGATTCAGTGCTAGATTGATATTATGTAATACAAAGTGCAAAAGGCTATTTTTCATTTTCCTGAAATAGCATATCATGTGAGTGATTACTTAATAACCCCGTTTATTCAGGCCATTACATTCCTTTTCAATGACAAAATAATGTGGCTAATTTCTTGAGCCCCTCCACATGAATATGAAGCTCCAAGGTGAGCAGTTTACATTAATCTAGAGTATTAAACTGACAGGCTAAATTCTTAAAGCGTATTAGGTCGATGCTGAGCTAGCCTGCCAGCCTAATGTACACTAACAAAGAATCTAATTGATTTCATGGTTCCAGCCTATGAATATGCTCATTGACGTTGAAGGGATATCAGTCCAATCCTTTTGAATCAGTGCTGCAGTGATAAGTGATCATTTTAGCTGTCTTCTTTTCATTCTTAGCCGTTAAAACTAGTTGCTGAGGACTAAGCATTTTTCAACGCCAGATTATAATTGGACATAAGGAATTAGGCTAGCATTTTCAAGAAGCATTTAGTGACAGAATTTGAAATGTGCAGATGCTGCAAGTAGAATACTTATTATTTGCAGGTAGAATATTTTTTATTTCATTTTGGTGGACTCCTAAATATGTTTTCTTTGGGCCCAGGAGGGCACTAATTAATCACACCCAAAATGTGAAGCCACTCAGTATTCATGCAAAGTCCATTCTGATTCCTAATTTGCAAAGTGGGTCTGGGAAATTCCTGACAGTCCAGAAGTGCCACAGTCTACCCAAGGAAAGGCATAATGTTGAAGCAAGATACATGGACCCAATACCATACCTCTTTTTCCTCAAACTGTTCCATGATCTTTCTCTGTGCTGAAACATTAACTAGAAGTACCCTAGACAGCCATTTAGTCCAGAGTCACTATACAGAAGACACTCATAAAGGAATTGATATTATTTTAGATTTTGGAGTTGTACTCCTCCTAAAAATAATGCTTTATGGCAATGATTAGCAGTTTGCCCAGTGCTAAGTATGTACTTAATGAAGTACCAGACAAAGAACTGCCACTACTTCACTGTCTCAGAATATTATAGTTTGAGGAAGGCATAATTCATGACGGAATGGCTAGTTCAATTCCTTGGCCACAACTAGGATGAAACCTGGTCCTTGGTGCTTTTGAATCATTGTCATGGGCTTAGTCCTTCAATAAGAGATAAATCACAGAAGACATTTGATTGCATTGAGTGGATAACTTGGAATTGTGATTGTATAATAATAATACCACCACTTCCCCAATGCAATCTTCACTATGGCCTTTCTAGTCCAGATTTTTTCCCCTTCTTGCCACTGATACTGGCTTCACATTAAGAATCAAAAAGGGCATCCAATGACTAGAGGTTGGCACATGTCCTAGAACATTCTTAAGGGCTTTTAATGAAGATGGAGAAACTTCTGTACTACACTTTAGATAGGATGGTGTATTTGTTGTTAGGATTCCATCAGAGACTATATGGGTGTTTCTGGTATTGATTTATTTAGTCTGTTATGTCTTTTCAGCTTTTCATCTACTAAATGAGAGTAAGGAGACTATGAGCCCACTGGGGCAAAAAGTAGCCCAAGAGAAAATTAAAAATTGCTAGTCTTGCCCACGCTGTAGCTTGTGAGTAATATTTCCCAAGTAGCTCAAATGAGGCTACGTCTTGGCCACCTCTCATGGTCCCCTTCTAACAATGGCTGTCATTGCCAACCATGAAAGGGAAAGGGATTAAAATAATGAGAGTGATTAGCAGCATGCTCATCATGATGCATGCCCCTGGGCCTGAGGTCTCCCCCCCATCCTGAAAGCTGTCTGTGGGCAAACGCCGGCTCCCTCAGCCTGAAGCAAGATGAGTTGCCTTTGACTGGACTTAATTGTCCAAGGGTCCTTTACCTTTTTACCTACCTTTAGTGCCACATACCCACAAATACTTTTAAAATACAGGGGTTGTTTTCTTTTCTTTTCTTTTAATGTTAGTTTATCCAAGTAGTGGGTCTTTGACTATTTTCTCTTCCTCATCAAGATTAATAGTCTTGCTATTTCTCTAGTCATTTTGATAGTATTTTTTCCCCATCTTATTATACTAGTAGTCTCAAAGAAGTTGTAACAGGATATTTGTTACATACATCTGCCAACTGCTTTGTTCAATACATTGCATGCATTTTTATTTGATTTTATCTCTCCTTCTCTCTCTCTCTCTCTCTCTTCCTCCCTCTCTCTTCCCTCCTTTCCTCGCTTATGTCCTCTCCTTTAACCTGTGTTTAGATAAATCTTGTTCACCACATCCCTGGCCCATACACGTTCCTTAGTCACTGACTCTCCTGTCATTCAACTTCCTCACCTTTTTCAGTGCTGTAGAAGGACCAAAGCCCCTGCTGTAGCTAAAAACATAGATCCCGGAAGGCCTGGCAGCTAGTGACTATGACTAATTCCCTGGTGAAGATTAGTCCATCAAGTGAATTAAAAGAACAAGCTCTGTTCTCTGTTCAGGAATGTGCTCCTGCCAGTGCATTATAAAGAGTGCTTTTCTTCAGAAGAATTCTACTTCGATTCATTGGTTCGTGGGTCAGGTGGACTCTAAAACAAAGGTGTAAAACAATCCCATTCTACTGCTAATAAAATGTTTAGTAGGGATCAACCTAGCAGTTGGTTTTCTGGGAGTGAACTCAGACCTTTTTTTAAAAAAAAGGATTATAATTACTATCACAGCCAAAGATGCCTGACAGTATAACCAAAATCAATAATCACTTGTATTATCAAATGATCTGCAAATTAAAATTCAAAACTGTACATACAATTGTTTCCCTCAACACTATTACCATGGTTGCTATAGATCTTTGCCTACATCTTTACATGAGATCAGAACCTGTAATATTTCAATTTTCTTCCATGACAGCTGTTGAGAATATTGAGGTTCAAGTAGGAATGTGGTGTTGGGCCTATACATCTGTGTACTGCTTTGCAGTTAATAGTAAAATAAGATGCCCAAATTAATTAATTAATACATCCAGGATGGGGGAAGGACTTAATATTCCTATGTGTGATGGCATCACTGGGCATACATTGGAAGCTCAGTTACAAAATTTCACAGTAAAGTCCACCACTCGTAACACTGAAAATTCACCACCAGGAGCACAAACAAGCTCCTGCCTACTAGGGTGGGCAGTATATAAATAAATTGTCTGAAACCGATTTGAAGTTCAGATTGAGATAAGAGTTTCAGAATGGCAAATATATTGCCAGAGGGAGCTTTAAAACAGAGCATTCCTGCCCAGCCACTGTGAGGGGCGGGTCACCCAGGAAGGGGGTATCACTATACCTGCCCACTCCGTCCCTCACTGGAAAGGACATGCCAGAGTGATCGCTGGGTGCGCAAGGCAGGCAGCCCAGCTGAGAGATTGCTCCCCTGCCCACTCCCTCCCTCCACAGCCCAGGACCTTGACATCATGATATACCAGTATATCACAATGGTTAGCGTGTGAGTATATCATGATGTTGAAAACCAGGTATCACCCAGCCCTACCTCCTACTTAGCTCCAAACATCTTTGCCCACCCTGCAAGCTTCCTGCAGTCCTAAAAGGCACATCTCCATTTCCCATTCTCTACTGGAGATGTATTGATAATTTAAGCATTAACACATACGCACACACAGCAAACCCAGTTGAAATAAAAAGTGACACTGCTTTGTCTGAGCCAAACACTGACCTTTATCTTATTGTAAAGTGTGGTTAAAAAAAACAACACACACACCAGTTTGTTTGTTTTTAATGTAGCTTTTGTAAAGTCCCCTCCTGGTCTCAGGTGTCACAGATATGAGCCTGTAGAACAGTTTGCCATAGAAGGCCTTTCCTGGGTCTGGTTACGTTGCTTGAAAAACAGTAAAGTACAGAGCAGGAACTGGTGTAGTAGAGAGCCTTTAGTATGGCAGCGTATATTGAGTACTGGACTGTATATCTTATTGGAAGTCAATGATGCATAAGTTCCTAGGTGCCTAACAGCACTCTCAAGGATAAAATCTCAGGATCTATTTAGTTTTCCCAGTGTTTCTCCAGAACAAATTGGCTCTGATCCAAAGGGCCCATGGAGGCTGATCTAAAGCCAGTTCTTTCACAGTTGTAAAGGATGCAAGAAAAGAGGGGAGTGAATGAGTATAATTTCAACCCAGGAACAAGCTCATAAAATCAATGACTCCCAAAGTGCTATTGAAAAAAAGTGGTTTTTCATACCTGCTCATTACACCATCTGAGTTAGGAAAGAAACACTGAAATCATCCATTGCCTTTAATTTGTAATGATGGGTCATATTTGGTTACTGCTCAATTATAGACAGCTATATTTGTTCCCAGCATGTTGCACTGCTATCCTTCCCAGACTGACAGTTTCACAACGGCACAATTTGCACCTGTAGGTAATAAGGATGTAATAGTGCATAACATCATAAGTTGGAGAGGTAGCTGTATAATCCGGACTTCATGTGCCTAGATGATAATGTGACCAGTGGTGGTGTTGTGAGAGAAATTGGGAGATAAGCACTGATGCTGCCAAAGTACATTTAACCAGGTGGCTGCAATTTATTTAGGTACTAGAGGTTCTACTGCATTCAAAACTGGAGTTTTCCATTGTCACCTTTGGAGGATCTCTTACTGCTTATGCATTGCCTATACTGACCTGTTCCCTCTATGTTTCTTCCCCTCCAATTCCTTGGCACTTCCGTACAGATGGCAATAAGGAATGATTCCTCAGATACCCGTAGCTCAGAAAGCCGAGAGAACATCCATGCCGAGGTGAGTGAGCTCTGTGATCCAAATTTGTCAGCTCCATCCACTGAGGATCTGTCTGTCACTCTGACGCCCTCCGAAGCAAGAGACTCAGCCGGCTGGGGGCGATCGAGCGTTCATACTCAGCAACATTCCCGCAATCAGTATAACATTTCCATGCATGTGCCGGATTTGTGTGCCTGTACAGACTCCCTTCAAGAACTGCCTGGAGACCCGATGGACCAAGAAGTATCAGAAATAAATAGCTCTTTTACTTCAGGAACTTGTTCAGCCATGAGTGCCTCTTCAGTGGTTCAGCCCGAGACCCCTAAGAGAAACGTAGGCAACAGTGGCAATGTCACTTTGAAGGACCTGAAGAAGTGCTACAGTGTAGATACACAGGGTCTTCTTAAAAAACCATCATCCTGGTTAGATGATCAAAGGAGACATTCCATAGAGATTTGCTCCATGGAAAACAGCCCTCAGCATCATTCCACATCTAGTTCTTCTGGCTTCATAAGTCAGGTCTTAAGTGAAATGGAAGGCTTGCAAGGGACGCGGCAGAAGAAAAAACTGAGTCCCCCGTGTATATCAATAGACCCACCTGATGAACAGAGTTTGTTACTGAGGGGGCCACGCAGCGCCACACTGCCTGCCAGTGCAGACGTTTGCTTGCGAAGACGCGCCCCGTCCTGGGATTCCAAGGATTCGGTGGACGCAGGGGACTCGGCCCTTCCAGACAGTATGTCACTAACTCCAACCCCAAAGAAAGACTTGTTGACTCTTCCTAGCTTTTCCTTTGATCAAACAGATGCGGACCCTTGAGTTAGTTTGTTTTCCGTTGTTGGTGCCAAATGTTTCTTTTCTCCCTCATGTAATAAATTAAACCTTTCCATTCTAAAATGGCACTGATTTCTTAAAAAAAAAAATCCAAAGAAAGTTTAAAGAGCTAGCTGGTTTTAAGAGTGGTTAAGCTATATCACGCTTACTTAAGCATAAGTTCTGCTTGGGTAAAAGCAATACATTGTTCAGAGTCTATATGTATATTCTATTTTATTAAATTAATTGAACCTAGTATTGCAGGATGTAGTACATTTTGTGGCTTAAAGACATTGTTTATTTTCTTCTTTTTTATGTATCTCAGAATATTCCTGAGATTGCGTTGGTTTTTTTAATGAATATTTTAACCTTTAAAAATACATATTTAATCCTCCCCTATTTTCTTTTCATTTTGCAAAGCACAAGATGTAGCCATTAGTGCATTACTGAGAAAATGTGTCCCATGGTCAACTAGAAATGAGAATATTTGCAATTATAATGTACTTCACTCACTGACCCCTCAACTATTTTCTGTAGAAAATAGCCATTTGGATATTTTTTTTACAACTGTATTGGCATTAAAAAAAAGAATAAAATAATATCCAAAATGATTTTTATTACACTGTAGAGGAAAAGCAAGTGCACAAGCTGAAGAGCATATGGGATAAGCAGATAGACTTGAAAGAAGGTTTCTTATAGAGAGAATTCAGCAGTCTCTTAGCAATACACAAGACTGTTTAATGTGCCAGATATTTGCTGTTGCTTACTTCGGTGATCCCTAAAATCATACTGAGCGTGAACACCTAAGGTGAGGCCTCTGTCCTCTTCCATTGCCCTTCCTAAATATGCAGAGTATGACCTAAAGGCAGAGAAAAGGTTGTGATGCTGCAGGGTTGTCATGATCTGGTACTCATAGAGGACAATCATGTGCGCTTTACAGGGCCGGCCCACCTATGAGGCAAGGTGAGGCAACCACCTTGGGCGGCAGGATCAACAGGGGCAGCAGATCCTGATGTAGATCTTTATTTCAGCCCTTTGTTCCTGATGTCAATCTTCACTCCCCACGCTGCCTTCCCTAGTAAGGAGGTGGGAAGACCACTTTGTGGTTCGCCTCAGGTGCCAAAATGTATTGGGCTGGCCCTGGTGCTTTACTAAGTCTCATCATTCTCCCCTTCTTCTGGTGGGACAACAAAACCCAGCAGTGGCAGCAACATCTTACAAAAGCAATCCAACCTTGTACAGTCCATCCATTTCACCTGCCTTAAAGTGCCATCAGCTACCCACTGCCAAATGGCAGTGTTTCTTTTTATTTTCTGTGGGATCAGACATTTCACATAATGACTGCAACTGGATTTCACCCCTGACTGCCATAAACAGCAAATTAAGGGTCTGGAAAATCATTTGCATTTGTCCTTGTTCAATACTGTACATCTGTGGTGCAATGGAACATAATTTGAACAAACAACTTGCCTGAGACTCCCTCTTTCTCTAGTGGTAGCCATACAGTGGCTAAATGGACAATTAAATTCTTTCAGATTTATACTGCAATCCTAAACACATTTACTCAGAAGTAAGTTCCCTTTGTTTCAGTGGAACGTGCTTCCAAGAAAGGGCTTAAGCTAACAACTGACAGTGATTTGCCTGGTTGAAAATTAAGGTTGGCCTAAACTGAGCAAGTAAAGCTTTTCTTGCCATACAGCTCCACGCTAGCAAGCTGCTAACAATCTATGTAAAAAGGTTCCAGTGCTACAAATAAACCTAGTATGTCAATTTCTTTCAGTGGCTGAGAGAACCATTTCTATATAAAAGAACCTATTTGAGGTTTGCAGGTGTATCCCATAAAGTACAGTCGTACCTTGGATCCCAAAAAGCCCTGGAACTCAGACGTTTTGGCTCCCGAATGGCGCAAACCTGGAAGTGAGTGTTCCAGTTTGCGAACATTCTTTTGGAAGCCGAACGTCCGACGGGGCTTCCACAGGTTCTGATTGGCTGCAGGAACTTCCTGCAACTAATCAGAAGCTGCGATTTGGTTTTCAAACGTTTTGAAAGTCGAACAGACTTCCGGAACGGATTCCGTTCAACTTCCAAGGTACGACTGTATATTCAAAGAATGCAAATAATTCTTGCAGTAACAGGAAGATCATCTTAGGAGTGCTTTTAAATTGTATTAGCCTCTCATCAGTCTTAACGGGATCAACCCCAGACTAATTTTCTCAGCATAATGATCAGGCATCTGGTCTATGTAAACCTGGAATCATCAGATTTTAATGGATCTTTTCTGTTCATTGTCAGCTGCTTAGGGGTTTTATTTACAGTTCAGTAGTATACTGATTTTGATAAATAAAATCACCCAAACTGGTCTAGCAGAACCCAGTCTTCATCCACATGCTAAAGCCAAACAGTTTTCCATTCACATGGCGGGCTTAATATGAGCCCAAACCAAGACTGGCATTGGCTACATTGAGGACATGTTTTGCTTTGCAATTCTAGGTTCTGCAGCATTGCTGCCATGCTCCTCTTCCTTAAGAAAGGGGGGGGGGACTCTCTTTATAGTGGTAGTGAAATTGATAATGATTCCAAAAATAAACCAGAAAAACTGCCCTTATAACCGAGAACTCCAGAAATTAACGTGTACAGTTATTTTACATATATAAAAATGTCTCTCCTACCTTTCTGTTGCCTGTGCACCTGTTCCCTCTTCATCAGTCAATATGTTAGCAGGTGGCGGTCATGGGGTCTGTAAAAAGCATAATACATTCTCTGTAGGATTTCTATACACAGAGATGGATTCTGCTGTCATGTTGTCTCTTGTTAACCTGTTTTTAACCACTGCTGCTTCTGTGCATTCTGTGCTTGCAACAACTCCCTTAAGTAGGTTAGGCTGAAAGAGAGTGATTTGTCCAAAGCTACCTGTGAGTTTCACTACTGGGCGGGAAGGGAACCTAGATGGTACCAAACTGCTTAATCCTGAAGCCGCCACACACACTGGCTCATCCTCCAAACAGCTTTGGCTAGTTAAAACAGTGCAAAAGGGTTGAAGAAAGGGGTGGATTTTTTAAAAAAATGTTTTACTGCAGCTCACAATTCTGGGGGGGGGGGGAAATACCACTAAAAGCAGTTCTTTGCACTGGTCTAACTAGACAAAATGATCCCAAGAGTAGGGAGGGCTGGTTCTTCCCTATGCCTTTGGCACGCAATTCAGTTACATATATTAGTGAAGAGAGCATCGCCCTCTAGACAAAAAATGAGTTAATACAGTGGTACCTTGGGTTACAAACACCTCAGGTTACAGACTCCACTAACCCGGAAGTAGTACCTCGGGTAATGTTAAGTTGTGGGTGAAGATATCAGACGACACAGCGATTCTTCAAACAGCTCTTGTTTATTCACAGGCCAGAACAGAACTGAACTGAAGGGTTCAGCCAGCCTGCTTATATAGAGCTCCACTAGAACGCAACAGTAGCCATTTTCTGTAACTATCCAATCACTGAACGTCCCTTTTCATCCCTTATTTGCATATGTGGACCTGAACTATCTACACTACACCCCCGCTGGCCCAGGGTGAGAACTTCAGTACATAACAGTTAAGAACTTTGCCCCAGGATAAGAACAGAAATTGCGTGCCAGCGGCACAGCGGCAGCAGGAGGCCCCATTAGCTAAAGTGGTACCTCAGGTTAAGAACAGTTTATGGTTAGGAATAGACCTCCGGAATGAATTAAGTTTGTAACCAGAGGTACCAATGTAAATGTATCATTTCCAAGGATCCCAAGGGTTGCACTGGCACAATTAGTGGTGCTTCTGCAGCGTGCAAGCATGCACTCTCTCACACACGTACACACTGTTGCACTGGTAACTGCCTTTTTTTCTACAGACCAGGCTTCCCACCTTTAGAAAGCCTCTCCTTCGTTGTGAGATGGCTTTGCTTTTAACAACATGCTCCTGTTTTTGCTGGAAGAGATCCACTGATTTCAGTTTAACCTGCCTCTGTGTAAATGTAAACATATTTAGGACTGCAGTGTTGGTATATGTTGTTAATCCAATTAAGGCTAAAAACATTCTAGGCCATGCATTCCTATGGTCCTCATTTGATCAAACATTCAGTCTAAACCTGGAACTGTATTTAAAGATTGATTAAAGGGAAAGACAAACAATATTTTGAAACTCAGATTTTGAATACTTGAAATTCCAAAATAATATTGAAAATAAAATAGAATAAAACTGGAACTAGCATGAGTACTAGATTACACAAGCTCATACTGGACCCTTACCTAAAAGCACATTTCATGTGGACCTTGTCACCAAGTGATGGTATAAATCACTGTAAGGTTGTATAATTTTGCAACATATCTGAATTAACACCCAGGTATCCTACGTAGCTCTCTGTGCCAATAGAATCTTGGTTCAGTATCATCCCTGCTTGTGCAATATCCTGAACACCCCAATGCTTTTGTTTCTCCAAGCCATTGATTTTGAAATAGAATGTTAAATTTTGAATTCAACAAATTCATCAACTAAAAGTTATGATTTTTGGACCTACTGACCATATTGCCACAATTAGTGCAATTCTTAGAAACCAGTCTATCATTGTGATTTTCTCTGGTTAACGGGGGGAGGGCAGGATAAAAAGACAGCACAGTAAGATGGAAATATGTTTAATTCTTTGCTTTGGTTCTGAGGTTTTTTCTCATTCACCAAAGCCCTATGCAGATATTCAAAGCTATGCAAGGACAATGTATCAGGGACCATGCTCCTTTTTTCTGTTCCCACTCCCACACACAGGCAACCCTGCCATTTGCATATTCATCTATCTAACTTGTGTGCATAGGGGGCTAGACACATAGAGCCCAACACATGTCGTTCCCAACCTCACAATCTATGTACCCAATATTAGAATATACAAATGGCAGGCAGGGGTGAATTTCATTGGCCTCTGCATGCATAGGCTACAGTGTAAATATGGCAAAGTAATACACAGACATCAGAAGTGAGTCATGCAAAGGAACATGGTCTTGATCTTCTCACTATGCTTAGCTTCAAACATCTGCATACAGCAGAGGTGAGGGACCTATGGCTCTCCAGATGCTGTTCAACCATATTTCCCATCAGCCCCATTCAGCATGTCATTAGTCAGGAAATATGGGAGTTGGAGTGCAACAACGCAAAGGGCTGCAGGTTCCCCACCCCTGGCAAAGGGATTCTGATAATGGAAAAGCGAGGTGTCAATAAAATGATGGTACACAATTTCAGCAATTGTTAAAATGTACAGTATTGATCTGGCTGCAATCAAATCTACAAAGACTACACACAAAGAGCATAATGTGCAATATTTCAGAGGGGAAAGTGGTGCAAAATGTAATGTACACTGAAATCTCAAGAACTGTAACAATATCCTAAAAAAAAAAAATGTTTAAAGATGTTCTGTTTTCAGCGCTTGGGGATTTTCCCACTCAGAAACTCCATGTGCATATCAATAAAGCAAAGATTTGCTTCATAAAATCATATTCAATAAAAAGATCAATACAAAACTTACTGTAACCTAATGCATTCAGGAAAATAATGCATGTAAACTACTTTGTGATACAAATATTTTCTAGTTGCCCTTTTGAAAATCCAATTACAGTACTAAAGCATGTGCAATAATCTTCGAAGAATTTTAAATACCTTTGGGATGGGCTTTTTTGAAATATATATATAATTTGACTTTTTTTAAGAAAACAAAAAGGTTCTAAAGAGAAATACACAAATTCTGTAGAATGTTTATGCTGATTTTTTTAATATATATTTTTGTAGAAATCTCTAGAGCAATTGTCAAGCCTGCCAAGCATCTTGGAAATAGAAGAGGCCTAAGTTCTGGCATTTTAGTCTGAGGTTTTGAGACCAGAGCTGATACGTTTTGAGATACATGTTTTTACCTGTTTTTCCAATATCAAGGGTAAGGATTTGAGAACTTAATTTTAGCTCCCAGTTCTAAACACATTTCAAAGAGGCCAATCGCTTGACAATTTCATAGTAGATGCACTACACAAGCAACCTGCTCTTGCCCAACTATCATTCATTTCAGCAGCTATTATTGAAATGACTGCACCTCAGGCATTAAGTGGTTTTTTCCTGCTGAATTCATTTGGATGTGGATTGCATGCACCCACAAAATAAATTCAGCTACATTCATGGCTCTTTTCTCCACTGATTTGTTAATGGCTGACGAGGGTTATAAAACTTCAATCATTTTTTTCCAGTGTGATTAGTAAACCAAGGCTGCAATCCTTTACACATTTACCCTGAGTGTAGGCATGTAAAGAATTACACAGTAAGGCAATGATCTAAAGCACACTTTCTACTGAGTAAGTCCCACTGAATTCAATGAGCTTTCTGAATATATATCACTGGGATTGTGTTGCATAATTTTAGTCACAGTTTAAGCATATGTGTGTGTGCGTGCATGCACACAACACGCTCTAACAGTAAGGTAAACAGCAAATGAAAGCTCACATTGGGACCCACACAACCTGGCTCAAATTTCTTGGGGCTCTGCAGATGTTAAAAAAAACACGTGTATTTGAAAAACTTGGTTGCAGAATTCCATTTGAACAAAACGAGTAGGTTAGCTTAGAGAGCAACTAACTAAGATTTCATGTCACAAATTAATTTTATTTGCAAGAAAAAAGCTATACTAATGAGGTTTTTGTAACATGCTAATTTCTGAACATTTAATCCGCCATCTGTTTTAAAGTCCATTATTGATCAGATAAAAATTCTGACTCTATTGACAGCCTTACTGACAAGTAATGGGTGCTTCAAATGATTGCAAGTTGCAATCATTAGAGGGTGGGGACAATTGTGTGAATTTGCCATTTATATGTATGTGATTCCTATTGACTTCACTGGGACTCTGGTGCATCTGAGTGTGTTTAGAACGGGATCTTTCCTATTCTTTGATGCTGCAGTTCTAAGTTCTTAGGTTGTTGTTGTTATTTTAAAACATACTAATTTAAAGCATATTGCCCCTAGTAAACCCAAACGAGAAATGGTATCCAGTTTGTTTTAAAGCACACCAGCACTTTAATATTGTGGATTTACTGTATACTGGTAGGAAGAGAGTATTCTGCTTTTGCCAGTGTATATTATGAGGGTAAACACTTGCTACCATGTCTGAGGGAGGAAAAAGAAAAATGTAAATTCCATACTTGCAAACATTGCACATGGTATTTCTATAACTTTTAGGTAGATTACAGGTTATTTAAACTGTAGATAATTTGGAAGAAGATACAATGTTTTTGGCTTCTGTAAATTGCACTCAACAGAAAATCTGGTTTTGGACAGAAAAGGGGGTTTATAATTGTAAAGTATGCCTCAGTTTCCCCTTCAATGCCTCACTGACTATAATAACCCACATAGAATCTTTCACAAAAATTACTAGAGTAGCCGCCAGTACCAATGTCCATTAACAACCTAGTAACTATTTTAGAACTTTGTATTTAATAGATAATATATTGTTAAACTGTATCAGGTATAGAGACCTAAAATTGGGTGTTTGGTGAGGGCAACAAAAGATGGTACTATTGGGGAATACTGGGTTAAAATGTTTTTTTATGAGTGTAAATCTTTACAAATGACAAAAACAAATGTGTACTATTAAAAGCTTTTGAAAAGAAAAGGCATGAACCCTGATTCTTTTATTCTTAGTTATTTGATCTGTGTATGCAAACAGCACATATCCATTATCAACACTAGGTATAATTGGTGTCAGTCTACAAATAATCCACATCAATTTGTAGAAACACGGGCAATCGGCTTCAATGAGCCAAACATTTCTTTACTGTCAACAGCAAGGGGTTCCTATGATGCACTGAAACTCCCAAAGAATCTCTGTCTGGTGTTTTGTTAATGTACTGTGGCAAATAATAATTAGAACTATTTTGGTCGAGAATGCTGCTCGTAGAGTACAGAGCTGTGGTGAAACCTGTGCCACTATGTTTCAATTTATCTTTCTGCATGCCAACTTAAAGGAACACTTACCCGCAGGAATGGATGTTTATTTTTTTGCAATGTAGGTCTGAATCATTGCTGTACGTTGTCTGGTGGACAGCAACACGAGAACGGGCCTTTTCTGCAGTGGCTCCCCGTTTGTGGAAGGCTCTCCCCGGAGAGGCTCACCTAGCGCCTTTGGCTGATGAAACATGCTATGGCCTTAAAAAAAAAAAGTATATTATTATTATTATTCATAAAGAATTGTTATTGGCATAAACACATACAAAATGCAGAATGAATAACGAATGTAACAATCAACAATAAAAATAGAAAAATAACATGAAATGAGAAAACAGAGGGGAGGGGAAACCTGGGAGACAACTGAGAGTGCAATGACATACAATTATCACACAGAAGAAGAAAAAGGTGAGTCAATTTTCTTCTCAGCAGAGCCTCTCTCCACATATTTATCTGTGGAGCAGGGGTTTTAGTGGGCTCTGCAGACGAGTTAACATAGAAGGAAAACTTGAATAAATGTGGTCTGTTTCTGATGAACCATTAAGGGCTCTCTGTTTGTGTGTCAGGTGTCCTGACAGTGCAATGTACCGTACAGGTTGAAAAAACGACACAGTACAGCTAGAGAGCAAGAATCTTCCCTGGTCATCAGGTGAAGGACCCCTTTCAGGCAGCATCCCCATGTTTCCAGGAAGTAACTGTCAACTGAACCCCCTAAGCACCTGTGCCCCTTGCCTCCAAGGCGGCAGCTGAATGAGCAGGCCAGATCCCCTTCCTCCCTGCAGAGAAGGAACTTATTGCCCCTCCGTCCCCACAATCTGCCAGACAACAGCAGTGGCACCCAAGAAAGCACTGCCTAATTGCATTGGATGGGAAGAGAGAGATAATCCTGTATATGCTCAAAAATAAGTCCCATTGGTATACAGAACAATCCTAACCATGTCTGCTAAAAAGCAAGTCCTATTGAATTCAGTAGGGTTCACTTCCAGGTAAATAGTATTAGGATTACAATTTTACTCCCAGGAAAGTGAGTATAGGGTGCTGGGAAGGGTCAGATTCAAAAAAAGGCTATGAATTAGTCAAACAAAGCACCCTGTTCAGCAGAACAGAAAAAATAAACTTGTATAGCTCTTCATATTTAGATAAATAACCATCAGCACATTTAAATGGCCTCATAAGCTACATGTACACTTTTATATTTCTCTACAAAATTATTTGACAAATAAAACGTATCCTTTGCAAATAAAATTATTATTTTAAGCTGCCTGCACACATTATCACGCAGTACTGCACTGAAACTGATAAACGTTACATACAATTTGACTTCCATCTATGTCAGAAGCTTTGAGAAGCAGCCTGATCTGTTTTAAAGCTGCTCTTTAAAATGTCACACACACATGCATGAACTCAAATCCAGCAAATATGCTTCTGCCTCAGAGGTCATTGGTGGGGGTCGGCTTCTCCCCACATCATAGATTTTGAGAGCTACAGCCTCTTCTCCCTGGAAAAGGTAGACCTCTCCACTGATTTCCATAGGAGAAAGTATAGATTTGTGTGCAAAACAAACAGCTTTTAACCTCTCCACCAAATTCTTCTGAGTGGAGTACCCTAGGGAAATGTGATTAAAATCTAGACCTGTCTGTCAAAATTAAAGATTCCACCACCACCCCACACACACCTATCTATACCCTCCCTATTCAAACTCAGGGTGTTTCTCCATCAGCTTAGTTTCATTTCTCAGAAGGAAAAAATGTCTGAGCATATTTTTTGGATAGCCGAGGAAGTGACTCAGGAACTTAGGGAGTCCCTGATCTACCCCAAGATGCCTTGTCAACAGCACAATCCAACTCAGAAACGTGAGAACCTTTCCCCAATCACCCTGATTTGCCTTGTAATTCAAGGGCCACACAGTGCTACACACTCCTGGTGACTTTTCCCTCTCAGTTGTGCCTTGAGGACCTCTTAGCCAAGTAAATGTGAGCCCATGTATCAGGGGGCCATAACACAATCCCACAAATGTGGTAAATATACAAACAGTAGAACCATATGGGGGCTTCCCACCTGAACGCTACCATCCATTTCAGTAGCCAGTAGGCCCAAATGTCACAAATGTATTAGGGGGGGGGCAGATCTTCCTTTCCCAGCAAGAATGTAGGTTACATTGCTGCCATCTAGAGGGTATAATAATTATATTTTACTAAATTATATAAAGAAAGACAAGGCAATACAGTGGTACCTCGGGTTAATAACTTAATTCGTTCTGGAGGTCCGTTCTTAACCTGAAACCGTTCTTAACCTAGGTACCACTTTAGCTAATGGGGCCTCCAGCTGCAGCTGTGCCACCGCTGCACATTTCTGTTCTCATCCTGAAGCAAAGTTCTTAACCCGAGGTACTATTTCTCGTATTTCTGGGTTAGTGGAGTCTGTAACCTGAAGCGTCTGTAACCTGAAGTGTCTGTAACCCGAGGTACAACTGTAGTGCGTAAAGCCAAAACCCCATGTATAGTCAAAATACACTCTCCTTGCACCTCCAAACAATCAACGCCTCTGAACACTCTCCAAAACTTGGGAATTAAGCTTATTTTGGCCCCTCCATAAAACCAGGAAAAAGTGTTTAAAAATCAATGTGTTTTTGATAAAATAATATGCTGTCACTTCCAATTGTCCTTGATACTATATAGAAAGTGGGGGTGGGGCAGTGGCATAGTGTGGGTTGCCAGTGCCCAGAGCACAAAATGAAGAAGGGAAGGAAGAGATAGTAAGAAATTCTGATGGGAGGAAAGAATGCGGCAGCTTCAGGAAGTGTCAAGGGCTGCATAAAATGAGGTGAGGGCAACATCCACCTGCAATTTAACACCTCCTTTGGAACCCCAATTCAGTGAGAGAGGGAAATGAGTTGACAGGGTGGAGGAGCCACAAGCGCACTCCCACAGTCCCTTCTAGTCTCCTCCCTTGAGTCTAGCAAGGGTCATATCATGCTCTAGCTGCCATGCAGATTCTGCCTTAGACAGTTCCGTATTGCAGTTGTCCCCATGTGGGTCTGTCAATGGGCTTATCTGTTTTCTCCAGCTCACCAAAAAGTGACTGGGGGCAACAGGGGGTATCCACTGGTCTGAAGAAAATTGCCTAATGGAACAGTTCTGTCCACAGAGGAGTCTTGTTAACTTACTTACTTTAACAAAATATCCCTTAGTGGAGCTAAGCTTTTGCAACAAGCTTTGGTTTGACCTAGGCCTGCATTCAGCTGTGAGGTTCATTGCACTCATTTCACTGGTTACAACGCTAGTCCTGTCCTGATTTCTAACATTCCATTCTCTACAATACCTTGCTGTGTTATGGAACTGTTTTTTTTAAAAAAATCAACACACCACCATGTTGTGCTAAATTTTAAGGTAAAGGTAAAGGTACCCCTGCCCGTACAGGCCAGTCGTGCCCGACTCTGGGGTTGCGTGCTCATCTCGCTTAAGAGGCAAGCGCTGTCCGGAGACACTTCCGGGTCACGTGGCCAGTGACGAAGCTGCTCTGGCAAGCCAGCACCAGCGCAGTGCACGGAAACGCCGTTACCTTCCCGCTATAAAGTGGTACCTATTTATCTACTTGCACTTGGGGGTGCTTTCGAACTGCTAGGTGGGCAGGAGCTGGGACCGAATGACGGGAGCTCACCCCGCCGTGGGGATTTGAACCACCGACCATGCGATCGGCAAGTCCTAGGCACTGAGGTTTTACCCACAGCGCCACCCGCATCCCTTGCTAAATTTAAATGCAGGAAAAAGCTGTGTCAATATACCACCCCAAATTTTGTCAACGCAAAACTCCCGCCATTTTACAAATTAATGGGGCTGCAGGCGGATGTTTTCCTGCAAACAATTAATACAAGAAGAATTTCCATTAGATTTCCAGGAGCGACTTTTACATTGTGCAAAAAGATCACATAAAATGGTGAAAATGAACAGGTAATGTAGCATTGTGAAGATGGAATAAAGTGCCATCTGAATGCAGCCATAGCCATTCAGCTCTTGTGAAAACATAGCTTTGGCTTATCTTAATTGCCAATAACTTGACTGAGGAAAGATGCATTGTGACAATGAACACCTTGTAGTGCTTTGGAGAAAGCCAGACGGAGCAGAAACATATAACGTACGGCGCCGATAAGACAGAAAAATAATATGAAAGTAGATCACCCGTGATATCAGTGTTGGCAGCTCTGCCTCAATATACACGCAGTGACTGTCGCTGCAATAGATGTGTAACCGGTTGCCTATTAAGAGCAAGAGATAAAACTATACAAATCTCCTTATAACAGATACTTCTAATGCTCAGTGTTGGCTTGTTCGCTATTCCTTTTGAGAGGTTTTGTTAAAAGCCTTGGCTTGCATAATGGCAGCACAGGGCTGGTGTCACTAATGGGCTTGCTAGGTTGGTTGATTTGACAAGGCCTGAAAAAAAGGGGCAGAAACAGAAACAAGACCAAGCCTCGCTTGTAGCTCTACAGGCAGCAGCCATTTCCCGGATCAGCAGGACAAGGATTAGTTCTTCTCTGAACAGAAGGAGTCTGAAGCATGCTAAGCTTGGAGCCACGATTCTGACCAAAGCTAATGGAAGAGAGCCAGAGTCAGGCTAGGAAAACAAGATGAAGGGAGACCTCATTGGGGTGGAGTGTCTGTAAGACCGTGCAAGGGCCTTTTCATCCTGTTGTTCTTCTCATCCATTATTTTCTTTGTTTCAGTCATTATAACATAGGCAAAAGGTAAAGGTAAAGAACCTCTGGGCAGTTAAGTCCAGTCAAAGGCGACTATGGGGTTGTGGCACTCATCTCGCTTTTCAGGCTGAGGGAGCCAACGTTTGTCCACAGGCAGCTTTCCAGGTCATGTGACCAGCATGACTAAACTGCTACTGGCTTACAGAGGAGCGTGACAAGTGCCAGAGCACACAGAAATGTCATTTACGTTCCTGCTGCAGCGGTAACGCTATTTATCTACTTGCACTGGTGTGGCTTCGAACTGCTAGGTTGGCAGAAGCTGGGACAGAGCAACAGGAGCTCACTCCGTTGTGGGGATTTGAACTGCCAACCTTCTGATCAGCAAGCCTACGGAGGCTCAGTGGTTTAGACATGATTATGGCTAGAAACAGGGATGAGAATCATTTGGTTTCCATTGCACCCGCCCCCCAATCCACACCAGCAAAATTGTGCATGCTCTGAATCATGTAGCCTTTAGTGACCAGGGAGGGAGATTCCATAAGTGGAAGTGACTGCATGACAGAAATAGTATTGGATACAACCTTTCCCCCCCACACACACCACCCCAACAACCACAACTGCAGCACCTATAATAAATATGTGTGTGTGCCTTTAAAGTGACCTGGGAAAATAGAATGATTCAATTTGAGATCCTCTATCTTAGGCTGAGCTCTCTAAGTCTATTCCTTGGAGGCAGGTTGTGGGTGTCTAGAAAGTGGCTCTCTGCAAATATCAAGGCCACCTTTCTGCTTCACTTGTCACACATTGTGTATCTTGCTTATTTGCTAATTGTTCGCCCAGATAATTCGAGCAAAGTCAGCCAAGGAGCAAAGGAACACATATCCTGTAACTTGCTCTCTCTGTTTTGCCCATGACTCTCTTGTCAATGAACACAGTGCTGACCTGGGTTTTATTTACTTTTTTGGGATTTATTTTTTGCTCCTAAAGTGCTTTTGCATATACATCCAAAAACTTCTGCAGGCACAAACAGTATTAAATTTAGGATTATGCATGACCATTGTTGTGGAGGTGGGGGGATGATTGACAAAATCCTCCTGGCAAACTGGGAATATCCCATCACTCCCCCAAGTTTAGGATATTCCACCATTCTTCAGCAGAGTTCCTTTTTACTTGAGAAAACTAAGTAGCTCACGTAAATGTAAACTAAACTTTAATAATGAAGAAAACTGTAACGAAGCAACATAATGAGAGAAGCTAAATACAACATGAGGCAAGTCTGAGGCAAGAAGAGGCAGTTGGTCCCTCTTAACTGACATTCTTAACTGAACATAACTGAACACACACTAAAGGGAGGGGCTGATTCCAGAGCAAAAACATACAAGCCCCGCCCACCAGATACCAAACACCCCTACTATTCAAATTAGGCCCCAGTGTTTCTCTTACAACCACTCCAGGAGCATCAAGGGCACAAGTCATCATGGATGTGCAATAAAAAGGATGTTTGGAGGCACCCTTGGTCTATATGATGCTACAAGACTCCTTGTTGTTTTTCCAATAAAGCTGACATTATTAGTGGAAATGTCTGGCTGCACTGTGGATATTGTTTAGACAGATTCGCAAATGCATATCTATCATAGTGACTGTGAAACTAGTAATGATTTTCATTGGCTCCCAGTAAGTTTCCAAGCACAATTCAAAGTGTTGGTGCTGACCTTTAAAGCCCTAAACAGCCTCAGTCCTGTATACCTGAAGAACGTCTCCACCCCCATCTTTCAGCCGGGACACTGAGATCCAGCACTGAGGGCCTTCTGGTGGTTCCCTCATTGCAAAAAGTGAAGTTACAGGGAACCAGACAGAGGGCCTTCTTGGTAGTGGTGCCCTTCCCTGTGGAACACCCTCCCTTCAGATGTGAAGGAAATAAGCAGCTATCTTATCTTTAAAAGACATCTGAAGGCAGCCCTGTTTAGGGAAGTTTTTAATATTTAATGCTGTATTGTTTTTAACATTCGATTGGGAGCCACCCAGAGTGGCTGGGGAAACTCAGCCAGATGGGTGGGGTATAAATAATTTATCATCATCATCATCATCATGGTTAGTAGTCACTGATAGCCTTATTCTCCCAAGAATTTGTCCAATCCTCTTTTAAAGCTATCCAGGTTGGTGTCATCACTGTCTGTGATGAGTTATCACAGATCGAACACCACATATAAAACCTTGATAGTACTTCATATCCCTTCAGACACATCACATTTCAGTGGACTTAGACCAACTGTTCATCTGGTAGTTGCAGATAAATCCAGTAAGTGCACACACATATATGAACAAGGCCACCACACCCACCAATGAACCAACAAACATACACTTCCTTTCTTGTATACATTTGGTTGTCAGCAGGTAAAGACTCAGCACTGAGGCCACTCAACTGAAGGCTACGTCTAGCATGCTGAAGCATAAA